CTAGGGGGTGGGTAGCGGTTGGACATGAGGGGTCTCTGGAGTGGCAGCTGTGACAGGGATGGCTTTAAGATCTGTGAAAGCCAAGCTACTGACGGTTCCCAGTCTTCTAGCTATGTTGAAGCAGTGGGACCCGTTTTCCTGTGTGGCTCTTAAGTCTGCTCTGAAAGTAGTTTCCTGCCAGGCCACGATGCCTGTCCCAGTCCTGCAGGGGGGACTCCTTGCCCTCTGCACCTTGTGCCACAGCCCCCTGTATCCTCTCTTCCACCACATTTCCACATTCCTGGTCACTCCCGCTTGCCTGCCTGTCTTTCCTCCTGGGATGTGAAGACCCCTTGGATGGGAACTGGAACTTACTTGTGATTGAATCCACAGCAAGCCACCCAGGAAACGTGTGTGGCTGAATACATGAAAGAATGAGTGAAGAAAGATGGTCTGAAGGCCATAATCAGAATTCAACTGCCTCCAGCCTGAGGTCCTTCCAGGTAACTACTTAGAAAGAGAGAAAGAGGGAAGGAAGGGAGGGCATGTGGATGGGTGGTAGGGGAAAGGGTGAGAGGATAGGAAGAAGGAAGGAAGGAAACAAGGAAGAAAGAGAAAAGGAGGAAAAAAGAGGGTGGGATGAAGGGAGGGGAGGAATAAAAATTGTTCCACCATGGTGACACTCAGTTTAATAAAGATATAGCTAAAGATCTCATGCTACGCTTGCAAGTTAAAAGAAAGGCAATTTGAGTTGACAGAAAAGTGAAATATGTCCTCAATGATGCACAAATTAACTTCTAAAAAAGACAGCAGGATTTGAGAAGAGCCTGCCTCCCTCAAGGATGCGATGGCCAGAGACTGACTTTCACGATGAGAAGCCTGCAGAACCATCTCTGCTCTGGCCTCTGAAGCAGCCAATCAGCTGCAGGAGGCTGAGCTGCGTGAGAAGTCCAACTTCAAGGACAGACGTTGCAAAATAGCAATGTCTCCGCACCAAGCGGAGGTGTATGCTCATTTTATGGATGCTCCTTGATATGGCTTGATGGTGTCCCCACCCAAAATCTCATCTGGAATTGTAGGTCCCATAATCCCGACATGTCGTGGGAGGGACCTGTATGGGAGGTAATTGAATCATGGTGGCTGTTCCCCCATACTGTTCTCATGGTAGTGCATATGTCTCATGAGATCTGATGGTTTTATAAATGCGAGTTCCCCTGCACAAGCTTTCTTGCTTGCTGCCATGTAAAACATGACTTTGCTCCTCATTCACCTTCCTCCTTGATTGTGAGGCCTCCCCAGCCATGTGGAACTGTGAGTCAATTAAACCTCTTTCCCTTATAAATTACCCAGTCTTGGGTATGTCTTTATAAGCAGCATGAGAATGAACTAATACACTCCTTTAAGTCAAAATTCCAGCTGAAGGAATTTCGAAGAACACTGAAGGCTGGGAGACTTCCATGCATTTTCAGGAGTGCATTTTCAGCTATTTACTGCCTCCACCCCTGGGCAGGAGAGCCAGCAGGTAGTGCTGTCCCAGGAGAGGACATGATTCTCTTCAGTACCTTTTCCTAATGCATAGCAGAGCAGACACAGAGGACTCTGACACCGAAATCCCAAGGAGACTCATTCCCCTGCTTTCAAAAGGCCTTCATCTAAGTCAAATTCTCATGATCCGATAACTACACTAACAGCAGCCATCTGCTGAGTGTCAGCCCTGCACTCGATACTACGTTAAGTGCTACACGCAAATGCTCTCATTTAATTCTCACGATTACCCTCCAGTAGGTTAGTTTGAAGAGTTACTATATTGTATATTTCCGCTAAATTGGAGAGCTTTTCTTTGGGCAAATGCAAGAGCTTGCAGTTAAGTACTTTATCCACTAAGGGGCATTATCATCTCACATTAAAAATGCCAGACCTGGTCAGGTAGGTACTTAACACAAATGTAGAAATTTGTGAAAAAAGGACAAAGCAGAGGTATCAAGTTCAACATCCTGAATATTTGCTAAACGTGATTCCCCTCATTTGTAAAAAGTGTTTAAACTCACAGTTGTAGTAGCCAATACTTACTAATATAGTAACTCAATTCCCGCTTCAAGATCATTTCAAAAGCATCTGTTTTGACCACTTTGCCAGAAAATGGGGCTATGACATTTGAGAAGGAAACATGAATAGACTTAGCCATTTGGCTGAGTAATTATCCTCTCCAGCCCCTTCAACTAATTTCTTAAGTCACGTTTTCCACTGAGGAAAACATCTGTATTGTGGCTGAATCAACTTCACTCAAGTTAAGGATAAAAAGAAAGGTTGGAATCCTACCACGAGCTTATCAGGATGAGTTTCTATAACTCATTTAAACAAAACCTCCACTTAAAATTGTATTTTAGGTCTGGAAAATACTCTGGAAATGGACATGCACATAGTTGAAGACCCTCAATTCATGATCTGTACCCCCGAGCCGGCTCTTCTGGAAAGACGGGAGATGGACAAAGCTACAAGTTGCTCCCATGGAGGATGTCCCTGCAGGAAATCTGCAATCCAAAAGAGAAGACAGCAAAGTCCTTGTGGAACTTCCCTGTTTAGATTGATAAGCCAAGACCACAATTAAACCAAACAAACAAATGCACAAAGTTTATCTCCGAATTTCTGTGGAAGCCCAGCCTGGCTCCTGATGACTCAGCCATGCTCTATCCTGATTTAAACTTTCCCCTGTCGTCGGGGTTCCCAGGCTGCAGTCTGTGGCCACAGAGCCCTCTACATTTGAACACTTTGCCTTTCACCCTCTGGAGAGCTTGCAAGCCTCCCAGACAGATCAAGCACTGTTTGGGCTATTTCTTCATTCCACTTGAAGACAGCAAATTGTGATTCCAACATGAGGTCTCAGTTGCTCCCCAGCTCATATCATCTGACAACCCAGCTCAACTACACAAAATAACCTCAGGTCCTCTGGTGCTCAGTGGAGGATGGAAAATACACTGAGCAGGGAGTGTGGTCACACCGGTCACCTGCCACGTAGCAGCTGTATGGCCTTGGCAAGGTGCCACATCCCTCTCCACGGCTGCCTTTTCTTGAATGCCTACTAGATGCCAAGCTCTTTGCTGGCTCTTACTCATCTTTAAAATCTCTCTGCAGAGTAGTGTTTTTAGATAAGGAGACTGCGGCACAGCAAGATTCTGGAACTCATGAAGACCATTCCCTTCTGTGTGACTCCATTAGATGGACTGAATCTGGCTCCACACAGGAGCCAGTAAAGTTCTTGTCCATAAAGGAGCTCTGGCAATGAATTCTGCACAAATTGTTTCTAACCATGGATACAAAAGGGATTTTTTTTTTTTTCTTTGAGTGTTCTAGGCTCTCAGCATGGTCTGGAGACTGGCACCCACCTGGGAGCTTGTTACAAATGCAGTCTCTCAAGCCCCACCTCAGAACTGCTGAACGCAAGTCTACGTTTTAATCAAATCCTCAGTGGCCTCGAGTTTGAGAACCACTGCACTTGACTAAAGATCTGAAGTCCCAGTGTCATATCCCCTTTTTCTCTGCATCCCCCAAGTACCCAGTGGTTGTTTTAGGATTGGTCCCTAAATCGGGAGTTCCTCTCCTACCGGTTTAGTATGCATTTGGTTTTACAAATGGGCCCCTTTATTTGTCCCACTTGGCCCAAATGAAAGTTTACATTGTAACCAGGGATAGGAGTTACTGAGCCCCCACTGCAGGCTAAGTGCTTTGTACTAAGTGCTTTACATACAATATTGCAGTCCTTGAGCTGGACTAGATGGCTATGAAGTCTTCACTCTTTCCACAACCAACACTACCTCCACTCTCGCAGCCTGCTTCTTCACCTGCAAATGGGATCGCACAGAGATAGACCCAATGATCCCTCAGATCCCTCCAAAAATAAGCCTTATGAAATTTCCAATGTTCAACTCTCCACAGAAATCTCTGTTATAATAGAAAATCTACCTCGCTAAATGCAATGCAAAAGCAGAGAACAGTCAGCCTACTTATTGCCACTATTACTGAATGTTACTGTAACATTTGGTGGCTCAGTGACCAGACAGCTGGTCTTTCTGAACCGAGACCAGCAGCTCTACCACTGGGATGTCCCTGGTGCAAACTGGAAAGTGCAGACAGGACACAGGGCAGGCGCCCTCCGCAGGCCCAGGGTTGGCATGGTGACGCCTGGGACCATCTTCACTCAATTCTTCGCTTCCGTTTCACTCGATTGTCATTGTGTGAGATCTTGCCCCAGAAGGACAGAGCAATCCTGAGGGCGAGGCCTGATGTCAGGGGAGAACAAGCCAGTCTTTGTCAGGTCCCTCAAGGGGACGAGGCCAGCCTGGCTCAGGCTGCACACAGAGGAGGCCTGTGCTCACTCGGCCGTAGAGTGGTGGCCTGCTCCATCCTTCATGGTGGGAACCCGCCACTTGAACATTCTACATCCCCCTCCTCCTGACTCCAGGGCTGGGCAAAGTGGAGGGATCTGCTCCTGGGGCCTGCAGGAATTTGGCTTCAAGCAGAACTTACTGCTCACACTAGCACCAAAAACTCTTTGTTGAACAATTCCTCTCCCTTTGGCTGGTTTCCCACTGTCCCATTCACAATGGCATCCTTTCCTACGTCACCCTTTGTCAACTCTCCAGCCTTCCCTGGCTCCCCCGGGCTCCTGCTTCCACACTGACTCTGGGCCTCTCACTCCCTCTGAGAGGACTCCTCGCTCAGAGGACCGTCCTGCCTCTGGTCTCCTAAGGCCTTTCGTTGGTTGTCTGAAGGGCACAGATAGTGTCACACACTAGGGATGTCTGCTGGGTGTTCATCCTGATAACTGTCAGGATGCTAGCCTCGGCTTTGCAACTCAATCATCCAGGAGATGCTTCACAAATGGTCAGCAAGTGTTTGAACCTACCTTGTACTGCAGATGCTTGCTTCTAATAGAAAATTCAACTGAGGCTTTAAGTCAACATAAAAATCGGTCATAATCACAGAGTCCTTACAATGCTCCAGGCACCTTTCTAAATGCTTACCTGTATTAACTCATGTAGAGATCACAGAACCCTTACAAGGTTGGTGCTATTAGTCTTCTCATTTTAGAGATGAGGAAATTGTCCTATGAAGAGGTTTGATAACTTGCCCAAGAGCATCAGCCGGTAGGGGGCTGAAGAGGATTCCAATCTAGGCAGTCTAGCTCCAGAGCCTGGACTCTTAACCACAGCACTACAAAGGATTATATCAAGACCACAATTAAAGCAAATCTTACCTGAAGCCCACTAACATGTACAGTATTTGTTATATGGGGGTCCTGAGACTAGGTACATGTGCCTCTGCAAATGTCATCAAGTTTCTAGGCTCCTTGTATTACACGTTATAGCAACTGAAGACAATTGATAGATGGCCGTTCCCCTCTTCCTTGATGTGCAGCATAGTAAAGCCTTCAGGTCTGGAGACAGGAAAGAACTGAGGTGCGAGAAAGAAGGTCCTAAGAGGGGCACTGATGACCAAGTGGGGACCTTAGAGGAAACACTGGCCAAGTTGGTTTCAGCAGTCACAATTCTTCATAACTCCTCTGCTAGTGTGCACCTGGTCCCAACCCCCAGACTCTACCTACTTCTCGGTCAGTGCAGTGTCCGTCCTGGGGCCAGTGTGCTGCCAGCTTATAGCTCCAAACAGAGAAAGGCAGGTTTGCCATCAGGCCTAGGCTAAAACCCTCTGCCAAGCTGGTTCTCCTGGATTCCAACCCAAAGAAGGAACAAAGACAGGGTTGGAAGAAGGAGAGAGAACTGAAACCAAGTAACTGAACATTGTCGCTATGCCAGAGCTCTCAGCATAGGGCTGGTAGCTGCCTCATTCAGGCCTGCAGCCGGGAGGGTGGGGTACAAGCTAGCCCCACTTCACTTTGTGAGCCAGATCAGCTGTTGTCTGTTGAGGGCTGACAGAGGCCTTGCCTGCCATGAAGAGGTGAGGGGTAATTTATCTCTCTCCAGCGGGGCTTCCTGTTGGTGGTGGTTTCAGTGCAAACCCCACATCAGGGTCCTGCCAGGCCACGTGGGATTCAACAGGACTCAAGGACTTTTTTGGGAGTTGGGTGTCTTAAAGACAAGTTCAGAGATGGAAGAAGCTGCATGATCAAGCCCAATTCCCTCATAGTTATGACGAAGGGAGGAGGGCTGACCAAGGTTAATTGGTGAGTCAGTGGCAGTTTGGACTAGAATCTACGTTAACCCCAGATAGCATGGCCACTTTTTGTTTCTCTTCCGCTCTCCCTTTTTGTTTATCTTTAAATCTGTATCCCTGTTGTATCAAGAAAGTGTGACAGAGAGGCAGCACTGTGGGGTTTTGAAGGAGAAAGGAACTCTTTTCAGCTGGGCTATCAAGTCAGGCTTCTTTGGGGAGGTGGCCTTTGGTGTGGATTCTGAGGACATGGAGGACTACAGAGCCCAGGCCAGGATGAGAGTGTGCTCGGACCTGCCTCAGTGCAGGAGCAGGGGCAGGAGGATGCTGCCTCTGAAAGAACACTGCCCCTTTCTCCCCTCACTCCCTTTTCCCAGCATCTTCTCTTTCTCCTTTTAAACTATCCTTTTGAACTTCACTTGATGTAAAAGGAATGCTCACTCCCCCTGGCTGCAGCCAGGGTTTTGGAGAGAATGGGGTCAGAGAAAACACGTGTTGAGGTCTACTTCTCCTTAGAGGAAGAAGAGAAGAAACCCAGATCATAGGTCTTGCCTCCAGCCCAGTCCATTACGAAGAACAAACAGGGCCCCTAAGAACAAGAAACCAGACAGCCCTGGCTGTAAGGGGGGCAAGTGGTTCTAAATGCAGTTTGGTAAAGGGCATGTCATAGAGCTGCCCTTGTCTCCAAAAGATTCCATCAGAGCAAAGCACTCACCCCAAAGCCCCTCGCTGTTGAGATGTTTATGCCAACTAGGACTGAGGCATGGTTAGGTTTAGAGATGATTCTGTAAGGAGGGATGACTGCCCAGTCTCTAGAACTAGAACCAGCTTCCTTGTAAGGTGGTGAGTTCCCCATTCCTGGAAGCATGTGAGCGGACACCGAAGGGAAAGATGTAGCTTTCAGAGGGCTTCTAGACATATGCTGCTCTGACCTCACTGCTTGCCCAGTCCTGCATTTTGGAGTCTAGGTGAGACTCAAGTCCAAACACAATGCTTAGTTTCATAGTTTCCTCCTTGGTCTGTCTGAAGCCCCATCTGCTTGTGGAGAGGATGATACACAGCATGAACAGTGCAAGAGGGGACAATTAGACAAAAGTTTTGATCCTGATGTCCTCATAGCTGTGGGCTTTGGTCAAGCCATTTCCTCCCTGAGTTTCAGTCTCATCTTCTGTACTTGGTCCCAGGCTACCTCCTGGAGCTTGTGAACATCCAATACCATGAAGTGCAGAGATCTTGGCACATCCGGGGAAGTGTGCAGGTGAAAGATTAAGTCTAGCGCATCCATTCATCTTCCAGCCAGCAGGGGTGATGGGAAGTCAACTGCACCATGCTCTGAGCTAGGTTCTAGAATAAATTCTACATAATGTACACATATATACATACACACATATATACTCATATATACACACACTTACGTACATGCATATGTACATACACACGTACATAAAACTCTGTGTGTGTGTGTGTGTGTATATATATATATATACATATACGTATTCCACCCCAAGAGTTCCAAAAAGAAAGTAGCAGGGGAAATACAGTTTTCACTTAGAAGAAGCAGACTCGGGTCTCTGCAAAGCTGCATTTTACCACCAGAGAGCTATGGTGCAATCCATGCTGTTAAATCAGTGTTTCTGGATGATGAAGACGAATTCCTCCTCCTCTTCTTTCTACTTCTTTTCTTGGTCCTCTTACCCTATTCTGCTCACTAACACCTCCATAGGGTCAGAGAAAAGATCAATTCAAATTAGTCAATTTGCTTCTTTTTAGTCACTGTTGGGAACAAAGTGGGAGGATGAGGAGGTGGCTACTAATGGATTTTTGAAAAGCAGAGTTGAGGCATTATCTGAGCATGAGGAGCAGGCTGGCTATTTCCTCCTCACCCATGACAGAGAAATCAATGTTGGCCCTTATTTATAGAGTGCAGTTCTGTACCTGAGTATCTCTCTTTCAGCTCCCAACTCCTACTCATCCTTCAATGCCCAAATCATATGGCTCCTTTTGGAGCCTTCTCTGACTGTCCTGGGCAGAGAACACATTCCATCCTCTGCATCCACATCGCTTTGTTCATGTCTGGGTTCTTATCTGCCATGTGCTCCTCTGACTGTTGGCTGCCTTTGTCTTTGTCACGTGATTAGAAACTCCTTGAGGTGCTGACCATGTCTCATTTGTCCTGATGTTCACGGCCCAACATGGGGTGTGGCCCTTGGTAGATACTCAGATATTACCTGTTTAATGAGTGTGTAATTTCTAAAAGAACACTCTGATTTTAGTATTCAGTGGAGAGACGGTTAAGGAACGGATATTACTCATTCATTTTCTGATGGGAAGAAAATGTAACAAGACCTAAATCCCATCATTTCTACTAGAATAGTTAAGTTTTTGCCAGCCAATTCTATGAGAAACAAAACTTACGTTCTAACCATTTCACAGCTATTTGTGTACTAAGACTGGGCATGAAATGATGGTGTTTAACATTCATTACAGCACCAATGGTGGGAAGGGTCATTGTCTGCATCTACAACCCATGGCCATCTCATTCAGTTGATCTGTGTGAACTTATTTTACAGCCACGGAAAATATAATCTTATAATAATATATGAAAGAGGTATAAAATAAGCATTTTAAGGAACTGGGGTTTCAAATAAAATTAGGCTCTTTGCCTCTTAAAACTCCAATCTCATCAACTCATCCATTTTTGCTTAAAACTGTGAGCAGCTCTGAGCTGTCCTCAAAATAGACTCAAACCACTTGGCTTGGTCTGGAAAATCCCTCATTCATACCCTCGCTTCCCTCCCTAAGTGAGTCCCTTGGTCTCTCAGACTCACCTCTCCAAATTCCACAGTCTCAGGAAGGAGGTGAAGGTGCACAGTGTTCCCCAAGGCACAGCTCTTGCCTATGTATCTCCATCTCCCAGCCTGGAAATTCCTAACACCCTTCCCTGAAGCATTTTGACCTCTTTGCTTGATACCTGCCTGGCTATATCTCATCTCCAGGACTGAGTGCAGACAACCTACTCCTAGGTAGCTTCCGTGGTTGCACCCCTCTATCTGGGTCAGGGGACTCCTTCTCTGAGCTCCCCAAACACCCATTCCTACTGCAACACTGATGAAAGTGTGTTGTCTAGCCATTAGTGTGTCTCCTCGTAAAACCAGAAGCAACTCAACTGCAGGGGCTGACCTAGTCCTCATTCATCCCCAGTGCCTGGTGCAGCATTCACATAGAAGAGGCACTCATATATCTGCTGAATGAATGATCCTCCTTCTACCCTGAAGGCAAGAAGCAGACTCAGGTCTCTGTAAAGCTAGACCAATTGTCTAGATAGACCAATTGTCTACCATGTAAGTAAATTCCAAGAGAACAGGTAAAAGTGACCTGTGGGAGGTTCCAGTGGAAAATTCCTACTCTAACAAATTGGCTCTATGATGATCAAATTAAGACAACTGTTTACTTCAACTTACTTTATCGATGCAACTTCCTCAGGAAGCCTTGATAGCACCAGGCCATGGAGTCCTAAGAAAGGGACCGAGACTCATTAATCTGCAGTCTCAATAGCTAGGGCCCAGTAAAGATTTTCGAATGAATGACTAACACAACATTGGGTAAGAGCTCTGGGGAAGAGAAAGGAGGGGTAGAAGAATCTCCAGAAAAGTCAGTCAGAACATAAACGCCCAAGTCCTTTATGCCCTCGCTTCATTCCACAGGCTCCTCATTCCTTCTGCTCCAATCTTACTGGTCACTCAAGGTTGGGTAAAGCCCAAGCACATTCCCTGCTCAGAGCTTTAGTTTTGGCTCTTCTTTCTAGCCTTGCTCCCTCACTTTCTCCAGATCCTGCCCAAATAATGCCTTATCCAGAGGTGTTCCCTGGCACTGTATATAAAACACTAATGCCCATTTCCCTCAACTCTCTAGCTCTCTGACTTAGCTTTATTTTTTTCATAGCATCTAATACTGCCTGATGTAATACATGCATATGTGTTACTTGTTGATGATCCCTTGACCCTACTTGAATGCAAGCTCCTTGAGAACAAGAACTTGGTTTTGTTCTGTCCTGTATCCCTAGCATCAAGATCAGCGCGAGCCACCCACTGCATGGTTCATGTTCCATGAACATCTATTGACTGAATGAATGACGGGATGAATGACTGCCTTAGAAAAGGTAACAGGCAAGGAAGAAAGCCCTGAATGAGCATATGCTTGGACCCTGACTGTCTTGCTGAGTGCCAGGCCAGGACACCTGCCCCAAATCAATTGACCCTTACTCTTGGTCTTGGATGTAAGCTAGTCTGAAGGGAAAAAGCCACTAGGAGGGAGTTAGTTTTCAGCTAATACCTCATGGGACAAAGGGGTAGGAAAGTAGTGGTTCTAACTTTGGGTATGGCAGAGAAAACCTTCCAACGGCCAGGTTGGAGAGGCAATCTGGCTAAAGTCCAGGTGAGAAAAGGCTTCTATGGATGAAGAACTCTGAAATAAAAAAGGCTGTTAACAGTTTCTCTCTTTTTTAAATTGTTGGGACTTAACAGTATTTGTGGACAAGGCCTGTCCTAGATTTCAGGCACAAGGCTCAAATGAAATCCAGATATGGGATCAAAGCTATATTTAAGTAGCTCTTAAAAAGGGTGGGTAAGGAAAGGAGCTGGTATTTGCTGAGGTCTCCTATAAGCAAGAAACCATGCTCATGCATGATCTCACTTAATCCTCAACACCAGCTTATAACATGGAGTGTACTATCCCTACCTTACAGGTGGGGAAACAGCAGCTTGGGGATTTAAAATGGTGATTTAAGCAAAATCACTGAGCCAACACATAGCACAGCTGAGATCTGAAGTCAGGTGTGTCTAAGTTGCAAAGCTTTTCTCCTTCCTCTGAATTATGCTATAGCTCAGAAACTACTCTAGAGAAAGAAACCACAAGAGGAAGAAAGGAAGCAGGCATGAGATAAACATGTTCCCCAAGAATAAGAGTCTGGCATGAGAAACAAGTCTGGGTTAAGACAATCCTGGGAATGCAAAATGAGCTTTAGATATCACCTGGTCTTACCTTCTGTCCTATGCTTAGCTTTATGAAATGCTTTTGCTTCTAGTTTTCAAGAAAAGTCAAGGTATCTAGCTGAAAAAGAAGAGTTTCAAGACAGAGGATAGCAGAAGATAACACCAAAAACTAGTGCAAGAGTGAAGATGTGTGGCCATCTCAGTGTGTTGGCTTTTTTTTTTTGATGATTCCTAACCGCGAGTCCTTACGCTGGGCCTGCTTAAGGGAGATGTGTTAATATACCACAGTCCAGGCAGCTGAACCCTTGACCCAACTTTAGTCATCTGGGAGGGATGTCAGCCTACATCAGGTGCAGTTCCAGTGAAGACATTCTAGTATATATGGCCACATTCCTCGCACATAAGAAGGAAAGGATCCATAAGTGATTGGGAGGAGGGGAAAGAGAAGAGCAATAAGCAGACAGAGCCATTGTATTGGCGGTCAGGGAAGTGGGTAATGAGAGTGGTTAGCTGCAGCCTGTCTGCTGCAAGTGCTCTTGGATGAAACTTCATGAACTGAATTTGTTTCTAAAGATGTTGTAGCAGGTGGGATGCAAGTCAGTTTTCTGACATGGGATCTAAATTCCATCTCAGATTGGCTACCAAAGGACCTCTCCTCCTACTGTCTAAATCTAGCTGGGCAGAAAGGAACACTAAATGGTTCTGCAAGGAAAAAGGAACCTAGATCTACAGCTCGAACCTGTTCTTCCCCTGCATGTAATTCTCAGCTACCTTCTTTCATTCCTTAACCCCCAAAGACTCAAGATAGCACAGATCCCATTCAGAATACAGCTATAGAACCCAGAGCCTTGAACGCCTTCCTTGATTCTTTCATGTCTTTCATAATATAAGCATGCATATGACATATTTCCTGCAGTACAATGACAGTTATCACTGTGCTACACGCTATAACCAAAGTCAATTGTTTCTTACCTGGAAATATCTCCTGTGATTCAGTTTCACCAATCCAGGCTGATGGGATGAATCAGCTTAGCTGCTGTCTGGCCAAAGGAAGTTGGGCTTCCCAAATCAGGACGGTGGCCTCCTAAAGTCCTGTAGCTTTTCTGTCCTTAAGATGGTGGTACCCTGCTAAAAAGGGAATGCAAGTCATGTTACTGTGAGAAGCAATTTCCTATTCTCTACTAGTCACAATATATTTTTTAAGGAGAGCAGAGAGTCACAAGATCATAGATTATCAGGCCTGAAGGACATCTAAGAGATAATCTTGTCTAATTCTTTCATTTTATAATTAGGAGGTTGAGGCTCAGAGAAGAAGCAGCCTCACTCGGGGACTCAGCAGTTTGGGAGTCAAATACACATTGGAACATATCTCTGACTCTCTGGCCTTTGACTTATTTTTTAAATGCAGCCACATGGTCAGGTTGACTTCTCCAACACGTGGTCATTGACCTTGAATGGGAAGTCATTTTATTTTTTGTTGAACAGTTTTGAAAAAGGGAGGTGGCACTTTTTCCAGATTGCTGTTTTTGTAGTTTCACCCCTGGGAGCTAAATTAGTAAAACAGCCCACCTCAGGCATGTGATTGGGATGGTTCTCCCTGTTTCTCACTAGAAAAATATTGTTATAAAATGCCATGACCCATGAACACAGTGACACAGTGGGGAGTGAGTGCTGCTCTTCAGTGAGAAGCATATGTGGCCCCAGGTCTCTCTCTCTCTCCCTCTCTCTCCATGTTTCAGAGAAACACAGCAACAGACATGGACTCTTTTTCCATGAGTATTATTTATTGCAGGGTTTTCTTCCTGGCTCCTGTGCATTTGAATGGCCACTCCTTTGTGCAGAAAACCAAATCACAGAAAACAGAGGGGAGCTCTCACGTATTAAGCAAATATCTGTCAGGCATACCATGAGAATTGTATAGATATACTTTCTTATTAATTTGTCCTTAAAAAATCCCGGTGAGATACCGTTAATTCCATTTTTCCAAAGAAGTAGGAAACCAGTCTTTCAAGAGCTAGGATGATCTGCAGAGTCAAAAAGAGATACAATGCAGAACCAGAAATAAACCCATGCCTCCTAAATCTACTTTTTGCTATCTAAACTGAACTATAGTTTGTTTCTAGGGCAAAACACTAGAGTTGCCTGCTTTTTCCAGTGTTTCAGCTTAAATGTATGAGACAGTTCTTTGGAAGCTGAAATTGTTATAAGGGCATGAAAAATTACTCTTATTAGATTCTCTTTCTGATGGGGGTGGGGGATGGAGGTGGGGCTTGTGGGGGAAGGAGGGGGTCTACAATCCAAGACTTCCTGACAGGCTCCCAGGCCCCTAGAGGCTGGGTTGGTTCTGGCTCTCAGCAGCAGGGCCAGCAGCAAGAGGGCACCTCAGGAAGTCATAATTATCAATGCTCCCTGGCTCAAAGCTTTATTCCTGTTCTCTGACAACAAGGGACATGCCAGGAGAGATGGGGTGGGGGTGGAGAAAGAGGAAGAAAAAACAGGAAGTGAAGTGGGGGAGGAGGGAAGGAAATGATAGAGAAAACATAGCAACTCTGAAATGTCCTTGGCTTGATGAGAAAGTGATTTCTGAGTGGACTTTAGTGGAACTGGGCCCTGCATTTTGGGAAACCGGATTGTGATGGTAATGGGGCGGGGCAAAGACGTTTATTTCCTCCAAACTCAGGGTTGGGGTCCACAAATTCCATTTCCCACCACTGAGCACAGCCTGGTACAGGGCTGTTTTCCACACACTCAGGTGTAGACACGGAAGGTGGTGAATTTCCAAAGAAGGAATCTGGGGTAAGGCCATGTTCCTCACCTCCTGACTGTGGCTGAGGGGACAGGCGTGTCACAAAAGGATCTGGAAAGTGATCAGGTATCAGGGAGAGCTATCCCATCCTCACTGCTTTTTTTTTTCTTTTTTCTCAAATGTCCTCAAAATTGAACCCATTTTCAGAGTGCACGACTGGGACGGATTCACTCAGCTGGGTTCAGCACGAATGCTGCTATCTTCCACCACAAAACCAAGAGGGTCAGTCAGGCGGAACACTGGGTTTCCTCCTGATCATGATATTCTAAGGCACCTCCTGCTTGTTTTCCTATCCATTTTGTTCACTCCATTTACTTACTGAGGCTTACAGAAATTCCCCAACTCCAAATGCACATCATAAAGAATGACAGTCACCTGGTAACTTGAACAACCACACACCACATACAGAGATGACCCTAATAACAACTTAATAATCAAATACCACTTCTACTCATGCTAATACTATTCATAGACCCCTGATGGGCACCAGGGGGTAGAGAATGCAGAGCACCCTTATGGGTAAGCCGTCACATACCGGTCCCCCCTACTCCAGCAGGTCCCCCATACTGGCTATGCATCTAAGAAGCTAACAAAAAATACAGACACAATCCAGAGTAGCGATCAGGAAACTTGTATGGTTAAAAATCTTCTCAGAGGGTTTTAGTGTCACCAACCTGGCTCCGATCCATGGACTAGCATTCAGTTAACATGGACCCCAACTCAGCTCTCACCCTCACCCCACCTTCTCCCAGCTTACAGATGCAACCACAAAGGCTCTCCAAGGGAAGGGGCTCACTCCAGGTCCCACAGCTAATGGCCTCCCAGGGATCTGCCCCACTCCTCCAAACCAAACATGGAACAAAAAGTCAGTATATGTTTGAGAGGACTCCACGCCTTCTGAAGCAATTGCTGATGGTTTACTGTGTGGGTCACCCCAGGGCCAAGTGTCCATTAGGGAGAACAGAGAGCAAGGAGGGGGGAAAGAAACGGAAAACTCTCATCTCTCGTCTCCACAGACTGCACAACCTCACATATCACCAGCAACACCAGCAGGCATTTGCTGCCATCCGAGCAGCCAAGCTCGGCCCAGGCTACTTCCACAGTGCTATGCCCCGTGCCTGGCCTGGTGGGGATGCACACAACCCAACACAACCAGGAGTTTGCCCTTCTGTAGCACCTGGCAGCCAGGAAAACGCTTTCCCATATCTTTTCATCTTTGCTCATTTTGAGAGAGGTACAAAGCTGAGGGGTAATCACCCCAGTTTATAAATGGAGAAGCCGAAATCAGAGACAGGAGGTGCCTTATCCAGAGTCTCAAAACAGACCTAGGGCCTGAAATAGGCATCTCCTGTCTTCCAGTCTAGTGACCTTTTCCTGTGTCCTGTCCCTCCCCACCCCATTCAGGGGAGGGCTAGAGAATAGCATCAAATGGCTGCTGCCTTCCCCTTCTAAATGGATCTGGAAATTGAAAAGTAAGGCAGAGCAACAGAAGGGAAGGCAATATCCACTATGAGAGGCCAAAAGGGCCCCGAAGACCACATCCTCACCCTCCGGGGTGGGCAGTCAAGAGACCCAAAGCCCACGGTGGGGCATGCTTGTGCCCACAGTTTACCAGCAGCAGAGCTTAGATTGAGTCCCTCAATGCTAGCAGCACAGACCAACACTGAAAAACCAGAAGGGGTAGGTGTTTAGATAATAAAAATAGCTAACACTCATCAAGTACTTACTGCATATTGGGCTTTGTTTAGCACTGTACATATAGTGACTCCCTGAAACCTCATGGCAACCAAACTACGTAGGCATTATTATTGTCCCCTTTTACAGATGAGGTAACTGGGGCACAGAATGATTGAGGCATAGAATGATTAAGTCACTTGTCCATGGGATTTAACTTTTGAGTGAGAGAGTCAAGGTGTGAATGTAGGCAGTCTGGCTCAAATTCTGCAAAGCCAAATAGTGGAAAGAAAGAGAATAAAGCAAATACACTAGGAACAGATGACACCTTCCTTCAAAAGGAGAGAAGGAAGATAGGAGACTCTCCAGGCAGGAAAGACTGAGAGATGCTGTGCAGGCAGAATTAGGAATTTATTCCCTAGTCCCCTCTGGGTAGCAGCTGACCAATGTCAGCCAACACAAGTAAATGACATCCTAGTCTTCGTGTTTATACAGCAAGACTGTGGGAGGAGCGAGTGGCTGGGCCAGGGAGGGGACAAAGGGAGGGCCTGAGATGGGAGAGTCACCAGGATGGGTGGAGGGGATGATGCTTTGGGAATCCAATTCCTATGTCCCACAGGGATGGAGCAGCTGGGCAGGCTGGCAGGCAATTCCCTTTGTGCATCCCCAGCACCAGCAGGGCACACATGCCCGGGACACCAGGCTTCGGGGATGCCACTGGGTTTCAGCCTCATGAAGCCTGGGAAGCCAGGAAAGACAGGGGTCATCTCTCACCATTTCCCCCATGAAGAGACTAAAGCCAAAAACAGTCACAGCCCTAGAACAATAACAACAACAATAACAACAGTCACCATTTGTTGGCAGGTTATGATTTGTCAGTAAATATGCTAGATGCTGTATATAGATTATGTAAAAACAATAACAACTCTGAGAGGTCCATATGATTATTCTTAATTTAAGAAAAGCTAAGTAATTCTGCAAAGGTCAAAGCTAGCAGGCTATGAGAAAGGATCTGAACCACCATTTATCGCACTGTGAGGCCCCTGATCTCACCTCAAAGTCATGTGTGCTGTGAAATAGTTAAGTGACTTGCCCACAACCGTGCAGCCGTGCTAACCCACAGCCAGCTTCTGGGCTGTCAGAGCACATGGGCACAGGCTTTTACGTCCACACACTCCCTACACTACACATCCACACTAAGTGCTGCTAACCACTTTTATATACACAGACAAACAACTGGGGTGACTTAATGGTTTATCATCCAAACCAGGATACCTCTGAGAGTGAAAGGGGGCCCTTTTAATAGTATTGCTGGGACAACAGGCAGACACCAGGACTGTCCTAGGCATGTAAGAACAAGCGGTCACCTGAATACAATCCACACTCCCACAGGCTGGTTACTTTTATATCCAGTTGTGTTGGTAGAGAACTCTCCTGGACAATGCCTTGCTTCCCAATCCACACAAATACTTCTTTGCAATAATTCACTCTCCCTGTGTTCACCTGCCTGTCTTCGGAATTCATGGAACTCGTTGGCCTTATAGAGAAACAGACTGATGCCACTTGGTTATAAAGCAGACATGCTATGGTTTGAGAAGGGAGGGTGTCACTAACTGAAACAGTGTATTTTAAGAGACTGGTGGGTTCCTTGTGCCCTGGCAGCCCGGAACCCGAATACCCAGCTGTTCTGATAAGCAGCCAGTCAAGTCCCTTAAGCGCGAGGGCTCTGTGGCTTTCCCATTGAGGACTGCCTGAGGCAAGCAGACGGGAAACCAGCACAGGAGTACAGCTGCCACCAGTACTGGGCTTGCTGGAGAAACTGCAGTCTACTGGGAGGACACAGACCTGGGGTCCTCGGGGGACAGGCACATCTCTCAGACAAGGCCTGGCCTTTTTCTGCTGCCGATCATGCCTGGAGGTGAGCAGCTCTAGCCTGGTGAGAGATCTTCCCCTTTCCCCCTGACTGGGCCTCGTGGGGAAGGAGGTGGCATTTAAAGCTCGTTTTTGTTTTGCTCTTTCCCTAAGAATCTGCCTTCTTAGGAATCTCTGACCAAGAGGAAGGAAGAATCTGCTGTTCTTTTGAAGCCAGGAAATCAGTCTTAACAAACTCTCCCATCAATACAGGTAAAGTGCAGTGCTAATGAGAAAGCAGAGGGAATTTGTCTGTTCTCTGAAGAGACCGTTTCTGGCCTATGTTTAATCGTAGAGCATCACAGGGCCTCGAGGCCATGGATTTTCAGAGGCCCCAGAGAAGCCTGCCAGCTCCCAGCAGCCCGAGAAACTGGCAGGGCTCTTGGAGGCACTGACGGGCAGGGCTCTGGGCCCTCATCCTGCGATAACAGGAATAGAGATACTTTTTACCTGTTTTGTGTAGGGGCTTCTACAAGTGATGTTTTTTTTGGTAAACAGATCCTTTTGCCAAATTAGGCCATGTGCACAGGTTGTGGGAGTTAGGGAAGGCACTTACCTTCTTATGGGTTACCGTTCACCACACAACAGCTGTGATTATGACTATATGTTATAATGTTATTCTGGGCGACACTTAAGACCTAGAGAAGGAAAGCACCTGTCTGATGCCACCCAGCACGGTGGGAAGCCCAGCATGGAAGGAGCCCAGAGACGAGATAGTGACTAACTGGGAGTTAGTTACTATCTGTGGCTCAGGCAGTCCTAGACAGTCAGAGGCCAACAAACCAGTGATGATGGTGATGGGGCAGGAGATATCAACCTTATTCACTGAGCACTGACTGTGTGCCAGGCATGGTCTAGACATCACCTGGATGTTCCATCCAGCCCTCGCCCCACTCTTGCTGGAAAAGGCAGTGCTCCTACTATCCACATCTTACAGATAAGGAGCTGGACAGCCACTCAGAGAGGCTGGGTGACGAACTCTGGGTTAACGGCAAGTAGATAACGAAGTGCGCATTTGGACTCACATCTGAGGGACCCCCTCCTGGGCCCTGACCACTGTACTCTACAGCAAAGGAGAGGACCCAGGCCACCCTCAGAGGTGGCGTATATGAGTCATAGGGTGGGGAAGGCAGTTGCAAGTGGCAAATGGTATCAGAACCAGAACAAGAGCCCAGATCTCTACTCCTGGGCTCACATTAGTTCCATTTCCCATGGCTGTGGTTTAATATCTCTCTGTGGTCTTTGTAACACCTGAATAGCCATTAAGGTGAGTGTACCCATGTTCAGGGCAGGAGAACACCTGCCAAACTGGCTGCAGCATTCAGGAAACTCCACCAAGCTTTTCGATGAGTTCACATCGCACTGCCTGAACACAACCGCTGGGGTGGGTTCCTTCTCCTTGAGACTGCATTTCAGAATGTCAGTTACACTAGGTCTCCTCTGAGTGAGGAAGTGGGAGGCACATTAGAAACCCAAGGAGACCAGCTTCCTCTTCTCTGACAGCCCCAAGCAACAACACAATTGGATGCCAGATAAAGGGGCATTTTTACCTCCCCTCTTCCCATCCAGGGCTCCAACTATAGGAGCATCACCATTCGGGAGGGGCAAGGGGCACACTTTAAGCAGGTTGGAGATGTCAGCAGCTGACAGCCTGCCTTGTCTCCATCAGGAAGGCAGCAATAAGACAAAAACCAGCAGTCTGGGCTGTGGAGTCTGAGCCTGACCACCCCCAGGGGATGCAAGCCAGGAGGATGCCTTGACTTAGTCTTGACCTGGGTCTACCCCTAACTTGGCCTTGGCTGGGCTGTGTGACCTTTAGTCAGTCACTATGGTCAGATCCTCAGACACAACACCCGTTAAATGCAGATCATATGGCGATATATACCAGCAAGCCTCTTTGGACTACTTTGAAAACCAAATGAGCTATTACATTTTTGTTCATGTTTTATCTCCACCATTGGGTGGAAAGTTACTTAACAGGAGAGGTCATGTCTCATTCATCTTTACAAACGATTGTAACTAGCCCAGAGCCCTGCACAAATGAGGAGTTGATGGTTGAATTTGTAAAATTCAGTTTCTCTGAGGGCAGTGAACAGCCCAGCGTAGCTGGGGATGAAGGAAAGTGGTGGCAGAGATACAGTGAGTAGAAAAAGAGGCTGTTGTCAGGCTGGGGAGGACTTTACACATACCGATACTTCTAAATTTCATCTGTAGCTGGATGGTAAGCGGGTATCCCAAAAGCTTTAGTAAGCATTAGTGGAGGATGGTGCTGTGGAAAGAGCCTGGGGTCTCAAGCCCAGAAATCATGAACCTCAGTCTCTGGTGTTTGGAGCTGAGCCTTAGTTGCCTTATCTGCAAAATGAGAATAACAGGTTTATTCCAGGGTCATTAGGGGTGCCTAGCATTTAAAGTGACCAGTGCGGTATTTGGCATCTATTTGAATTTCGGCAAATACTACTGCCCTAAATGAGTCAAGCTGACCTTGACTATCAGATGTAAGGGCATGTTACAGAGGTTCTAGGCCAGTGCTGCCTTGGAGTGAGAAACTAAGCAATGGTACCATGGCCATACTGCAGTGAGGACAATCTAGAGTCTAGAGTCAGTCTGACTAGAGTCATGTGCTGTCCAAGTTTCCAGCAATCCTGGTATGCTCTAGCATATCCTGTGAACACCTACAGCCCTCATGCACCCAAAGGCCACATGGTGTCACATGGCAAACACCCCCTGAGTCCCATAGACCACCTCAAAGCTTCCCAGTGCCCCAGCCTACAGCACTATCTACAAGGGACACTGTCAGGTGGCTTCTGTTGGGTGTTCTGTAGAGATCACTTATGCCATAAGGCCGGCTAGGAGGCACAGCTCTCTGGGCTGAGAAGCAGGAGATCTGGGTTCCAGTTCTACATGGCAAGTGACTTGCCCTGTGCACAGTGGCTGAACAGTCTTGGGACTCTCAATGTGTGGAAGTGCCCTTCAGTGCAGTGTTTCTGTAAGAGCTTAACCTAAGATATACACTGCCATTCGAGAAAGTCATGTTCTTATCAGGCAAACCTCTGCTAAAACTACCCTGACAGTGAAGCCCCTTCTGTAGAATGCTCCTGTTCAAACCCAACAGGAATATGCTCAAGTTCAGAGGGTCCCTGGTTTCTAGTTTCCGCCTGACCAATTCCTGTCTGTGCCACCTCCTGTGAGTCATTACACACCGATGAGCCTCAATCTCCTCATGTGAGCCTCAGAGGCAACAATATATTGCTCATACTATTTTCTAGCAAACTGTTTCTTAACACTTCACAGAAAATACAAATCTCATTTTATTTGGATACTCTGAGGTCGGTCATCCTTCATTTTTGTGGGCAGAGCCAGACACACTTTCACAAAGCAGGCACGGGGGAAAATGAAAAACTTCCATCATTCTTGGGAAGCGGGAGAGAGTCAGAATCCATAGGATGAGGAATGATTGAGAATGTACCCATGACAGCTGGGAGCCGGCTTATCTACGACGCTGGCAAGGGTCACCCCTGGCCTCAGCAGACAAACACTGGCAATTGCGCTCCAGACAATAGCACAGCTGCTCTTGTTCCTGGGCTCCCTGCTGTGAGGCAAAGCAGGGGTCATATGATCAGTATTCAGCATTGCATTCGTCCCCAAGATGCAAAGGGATTCTGCCTTCCCCAACAGCACAGGGCTACAGGAGGGGGGTGCACACCCCCCATCCCAATCGGGGGAGCAGTGGATAGAAGAATGGATAAGGATAAGATCCCCACAGAAATTGACTACAGGAAAATGCAGTTTCCATGTGAGAACCACCACCTCTAACAAAATCCATATTCCTTAGCTGAGGGTACAAGTTCTTCCATAAACGACTGCATACTAATTAGAGCCATCCTTTATGTAAACTCCCAGCTTAAGCCCAAATGTGATTTACTGCAGCTTTGTACTCTCTTGCCCTGCCCTGCAGCCTAGACTTTCACCCCCTACCCTGTCTACCATCCTTCAAGGCCAGCAGCAGAGTCTTACCTCCTCCATGAAGTGTTCTCTGATACCCACCTAAGACCACAATCCATACTGACCTCTCCCTGTTCTGAACTCTGATAGCACTTTCTGTCTGTGCCACTCAGCATTTAGTGCCTATGAGTTGTCTCATGACTTTTATTTATTTATTTATTCATTTTTGAGACAGGGTCTCGTTCTGTCACCGAGGCTGGAATTCAGGGGCATGATCTTGGCTCACTGCAACCTCCACCTTGAATAGTTGGGATTACAGATGGAGGTCACCATCCCTGACTTTTTTCTTTATTTTTTGGTATTTTTTTTGTAGAGAGGGGGTTTCACCATGTTGCCAAGGGCTGGTCTCGAACTATCTGCCAGCCTCAGCCTCCTACGGTGCTGAGATTACAGGCGTGGGTCACCGCACCCAGCTACCTCATCACTTTCTGACGGGACTGTTACACCAATCCCCTGACTGGTTTGATCCTGCTTGGGCTGTGGCCCCGTCCTCTGCAGAAACAACTTTTCAAAACACACATTTGATGATGTGTCATCCCTGCTTAAAACACTTCAAGTATTTCCTACCACCTTCATGATAAAGTCCAAATGCTCTACCATGCTCCTACCCTTCTCCTGGGAGTATCCACATTCCAGTCACACCGAAGTGTTTCCCAAGGTTATGTAATGAGGTGATATCAAAGGCAGGAGGAGAACCTGGATCGCCTGATAACTAGCTGAGGGTTCTTCCCTCAGTCCCTGGTGCTTCCCAGGCTAACACTGGACCACAGACAGGATGACTAGGAGCACATGACACTGAGTCATGGTCAAGGTGAGAAAGTCAAGACCTACTAAGTCTTTAGGCTTGATGAGCTTACACTGTTGATAGCCAGCCGATCCGCCAAGCAACCAAGTGGGCAGTAGGTGTCTGAGACTCAGGCAGAGATTCATCTGCTCTTTCACCAACAGTGGGAAGGGGATCACTATTTCTCCTTTTGTAGGTGTAGAAAATAAGACTCCCAGTGGTCATAGCTGCTATCGGGACTAAAACACCAGCCACACCCCTTCTCTTATATTCCAGAATGGTAAAATCCAACATCCCCCCACTGTCACCACTTTGATGCCTCCCAAGCATCTTACAGTAGACACATCTGATGGCGAGTAACAGCACCTAGTTCCTGCCCAAGAGATCATTCTGTCCAAGACCCCCTTCTGGGGAACTTCATTTCTGCTCTAAGACCAGAGCTATCCCATGACTTTTCCAACTTCTTCAATGGAAAGACTGTGAAAAGAAACTTTCATTTAACAGAAGAGAGGGAAAACTCCACTCTAACTGCTTTATGTTTATCCAGAGAAGTTATCAAAAACTCTTACCAGGCGACTGCTTTCCCCCCAGGACATCACAGTGATAAGCGCATGTGTCTGGGGGTGGCAGAACGAGGTCCAGAGGAAAGCAAGACTAACATGTGATGAGCAGCACACATGGACCCAGGGGCATTCTGAGCCGGCTGGCACCAGCTCACCAGAGCCAACTGTACAGATCCCTTCCCAACTTCATAATCAGTGAGGCCATGGAAGTAGCTTGAAACCAGCCATGGTGGAAGTATTTACACCATGGAAATTGTCCCATGCTCCCAGCAAGTTTGTTTGGCTTTTGTTTATCCCAGAGAATTTGTTATTAAACATTTAGGAGCACACCACTGAATGGATCCATAAGATGGACACTGGGCTGGGAAGACAAGACTTAAATTGTAGCTAAAGCTCTACCGCTAACTCACTGTTTGACTTGGGCAAGTTTCTTCCTGGTGCCTAAGTTTCCTTAACTGTAAAGGACATAAACAGCACTTTGGTAAATGTAAAACAGGGAAGAGACATTTGGCAATGCCTGCAGACATTTTTTGGTTGTCACAACTGAGGTAGATGTTGTGCTACTGGACAGAGATGCTGCTAAGCATCTGACCACACACAGGAACACCCCTCCTCCTCCCTTAACAGAGACCTACTTTGCCCCAGACTCTCTTACTAGTGCCAAGGTTGAGAGATCCTGACGGGGAGATAGTCTCACAGTAGCCCATTGAAATACCTTGAACCCATCAGCATGCAGAAGGAAAATAAAATGAACTGGAATCAGCTTGCAGGAACCCTGGGAGGGCAGTGGTGCAAAACATTGCCACGGATGCTACAGGTTTACAATGCAAGGATGAGGTAGATCTCTTGCCCTAACATGGCGCCGGGCACACCATAGGTGCTCAGTAATCATCTGCGGAAAAAGCAAATGTGTCTAGTTGAAATAACAATGTAGTCTCTCTTTAGCAAGCCTGTACTCCAGCGTGTGTGCATCCCCTACAGTGACACCAGGCAGAAGAATCTGACAAGTGTCTATTCACCTCCTCTCACCTCCTCTGGGAGGGTAGTGAAAAGACACGGTGTGAAGTTCCAGCCCTGGAGACTCAAGTTAGACAAATAATCACTAGCCTGGCATCCAGAGCAGCGATGGTCAGAAGAGCAATTTTATTTAAGTCATTTTCTAATAGGAGTTGAAGCATCTTGAAAAGTGAGGTTTTCAAAGGCTCCTCTGGGGAAGCAATTGTCAAAAACACACAGCAGGCAACCTTGCTTTCGACACATTCAAAGCCACTTTTTAAAGACAATCCTTTTATTCTCTGTACCGTTTGGGATTGAGAATGCATTTAGCACAAACCACCAGAAGCGGAAACAGAGTTGGGTAAGAAACGCGACTGACGTTGTGGCAAGCACAGGGAACTGCAACAGAATCTGATCAGGCTGGCACCACTCAGACACACACAAGGAAAGAGGCAATGCCAGGCAGCATATCTACTGTCCCCTAGCCTCTGGGGCCTGGAGTCAGCGAAAGTCAGGGGTGAGTCGTAACCACAAGCTGTTCCTGGAAGTCCCTTGCAAGACTCTGGATTCTGAGTTCTCACACTGAGAGAGGTAGCTGATTTCTAAACAAGCGATGACAGAACAGAGGACCTCCCTCTGTGTCTCCCTGAAGATGTGAATCTGACCGTAAACTATCTGACTCACAAAGCCCTTTAATTAAAAGCCCAAGGGCCTAGAGCTAATTCGAGATGTGGCAAGACCCAGTAGTTTCTCAAGCACCAGAACTGTGAGCAGATTAATGGGGATAATTTCACCCTTCCTGGTCTATAAATGACAACTCACTCAACTATAAATTAGATGCACTGAATGCCAGAGCTGGAAGCCACCTGGGCAACTCTCTGCCCAGCCCCTTGCTTTGCGGATGAGGAGCCCATGGTCCAGGATAGGAGGCTGACTGCCCCAGACCTGGTCCCGAGCTTCTTACTGACTTTCAGCAAAATGCAGCTTTCTTGGTGTCCAGTGCTGAGTCACCTATCTATTCGGAGAAAATGTTTTTGTTGAGGTCTCTATACTCCCTCTGCAAGGCTTACTCAGAACTCAGGACAAGCTGGTTACAATCCATCTGGGACCGAGGGTCACAGGTTGGAAGTAGGACAACTTCAGGGAAAGAAATTACCCCTGCCTGGGTAATATAGTAAGATCCTATCTCTCCCCTAACCCCTCGCCAAAAAAAAAAAAAAGAAAGAAATACAAAACATTAGCTGGGCATGGTGGCATGTGCCTGTAGTCCCAGTTACGAGGAAGGCTGAGGTGGTAGAATCACCTGAGCCTGGGAAGGTGAGGCTGTGGTGAGCCATGATCATGCCTCTGTACTACAGCCTGGGTGACAGAGCAAGACCCCATTTCAAACAACAAAAAATAGAAAAGAAATTTCCAAAACCCCCACATACCAGGAGCTGGCTCCTTCCATCACTCCTCTGTCATTCATTCCTCACATCCACATCCCAGGACAGTGGGTCTTCTGATGCCCAGGCTAAGTGAGATAAAGAAATCTGCTTGGCCAAACAACTAATGGATTTCTTTGATGCAATGCTCATCAAACTCTTTTCTTTTTAACTTAAAAGTTGTAACATCTAAAGCAGCAACAAGATGACTTCTAGGAACTGAGTGTTTGTATCCCCCTAAATTCATATGTTGGAGCCTAAATTCCCAATGTAATGGTATTTGGAGGTGAGGGAGGGAAGAATCAGGTCATGAGGATGAAGCTTTGTGAATGAGATTAGTGGCCTTCTCCAAAGAGACACAACAGCGATGATGTTTTTCTCTCTTCACCATATGAGGATGCAATGAGGAAACAGCCATCTGCAAGCCAGGAAGCCAGCCCTCACCAGACACTGGATCTGCCCACACCTTGATCTTGGACTTCACAGCCTCCAGAACTTGGACTTTACAGCCTCCAGAACTGTGAGAAATGTATTTCTGTTATTTAAGTACTCTAGTCTGTGTAATCTGTTACAGTATCCTGAACTGACTAAGCCAATGACTTCTTCAGTAATGACAAAATAATTTTACCACATATTATTAATAAACCTCTAATATATTGGATTGCAAACTTGAATTTTTTCCTGCTAATAATGGCTAATACTTATGCATATGATTTATGTACTTTTCATTATACAAAATAATCTCTCATTAACAAAATAGCTTCAAGTAGCATCTACCATTCTCATTTCACTGATGCAGAGACAAAGGTCCAGAGCGCTCAGGTGAAATTTCTGAGATCACACAGCCAGTCAATGGCAGAAGGGTGTCTGATCCTGAACTCTGTGTCCTTCACCAGGGACTGTGTCCACTTAGGGACCAATCAGATGCCACAGACCCTGGAAATCAGTATCTTTCATTAATATGTCTGCTGAGCGTGGTGCTGAGGGCCTGGGTAATAGAGGGTGATGGGTGGGGTGGCAGTAGTGATCTCATCTTGGGGTTTGGAAGGAGTCACACACCTGAATGGCACACAGTTCCCGAAGCCTACCTGTTAGTAAAGGCTTTGAGGTGCATTCAGACAGAGGGGCAGTAAGAAGGAGAAGGAATGTCACTGGAGCCCTCCCTGCAGGCTGTCACGGGCTTCCTGGATTTCTTCCACCCCTGGGGATGAAGATTCAGAGAACAAGGTATGGTACCTCCATCTTGTTTGCTAACAGCCCATAAGCTTCCAGGAAATATAAACACAGGAAATGACGATTAAGTGCAGTGTGGCAGTTGCACGGGCTGGTGTGGAAGTATCCGTGGTGGGCACCAGACTCCACCTGTGTGACGGGATCTGGCCGGGAAAAGCT